ACCTTGGGGGAAGCCATGCAAGATTGGCGAGGAGTCTGATTGGTGATTATTATAGCAGACATACTGCATCCTGTTGGACAGATGTGAGGTAAACCAATTGTGGGATAGGCCCCTAACGCTGTAATATTCAAGCTTTGAATGGAGGATGTATGGTTGACAGTATCGAAGGCTTTAGAGAGGTCCAAGAATATTCCGACTGTGAACTGACTGTCATCAAAGGAATTTAAGATGTCTTTAGTAAAGGATAGCAGAGCACTCTCAGTCGACCTTCCAGCCCTAAATCCAAACTGGGAGTCTGTAAAGATGTTATTGGCATTGCAGAAGTAATTTAGTCTACTACATGCTAGCTTCTCCAGTATCTTACTCAAGGATGGGAGGACTGAAATGGGGCGGTAATTCTTGAAAAGACCTTTGTCCCCAGATTTTTTATATGCTGGGTGAACTTTAGCAATTTTCAGTTTATCCGGAAAGACACCACTAGTAAAGGAGGAGTTACAGATGTGTAGGAGAACAGGTAGTAATAAGTGGGCTACTTTCTTCATGATGCTCATTGGTATATTGTCTTCGCCTGCTGCTGCATCTTTGGACATTTTTATGATGGCCAGTAATTCATCTGCTGAGACAGGGGATAAGAACAGCTCATTTTGCTGTCTGTTTTAAGGTAGGCTCTAAATTCCTCATGGTGATTAGGGATGCTCTCTGCAAGATTTTGGCAACATTAATAAAATATTCATTGAAGTGGTTGGCAATGAGGAAGGGTTCCGTTACAACTGAATCATTTATCATAAAAGCTGAGTGGGGGGCCGAAGGCTGAGTGTTCCTGTTCTGAATAGAATTTTTGATATTCCAGGTTTTCTTACCGTCGCCTGATGCTGACTGGAGCTTATTTGTATAATAGCTACGTCTGGCAGTTCTAACTGCTTGAGCTACTCTATTTCTGATACTTCGGTAAGCATCACCGAAAGTTATGGGTCTTTTTGCAAATTTCCTTTGGAGTTTGTGTTTTTCTTTTATCATTATCTTAATTTCGCTTGTGATATAGAATTTGGAAATGGATACGGTTTTCACTGATTTAATATTGAGCGGGAAGATAGACACTGATGTAAAAAGGTATCTAGATGAAGGGGAATACTGCTGATGTTATGGCTAATCAAGGAGAAGAATGAGGTAGTAGAAGACAAGAACTAAACTCGGGAGAGTCAGGAAAGTAATAGTTACAGTTGGGGTTGGTGTAACCCAGTGAATTTTGTAGAAAGGCATCAGGATCGATATGAGGGAGTATTGTGTCGACACCATGGGTAAATGGGGTGTAACACATACGATCTAGAACATCTAAGGGAATGACACTAGCATCATCATTGTGGGAACATTGATACTGATTAAGGAACAGTAAAAACTCAGGGTCACTGAGGTGTGAAAAAGGAAGATCTATGAAAATTATAATAGTGGGGGGGGTGTAACGTACTCACAAGTGCTACAACCAACAGAATTAGGATGACCGGTACTGTTGAGGGTGATTCCCAGATAGAGTGGGAGGTGCTCTTGTCATTCGGTTTTGAGGGTTGTTGGTTTCCACCACAGAGGGTAGACGTGCAGTACTTGAGGTGGCCGGCAGGGGGTGGGAACTCCTCAGGTGATAGCGACAGTGGCTGGTTTCCCCTCAGTGGGAGAGGGATTCTCGAGGGGCTTCGGGGGGTTGGTACTGCGGGTGGGTGAGTGGGCGGGCGTCCACTTGGGTGATCCCTCACAACAAGGGTTTTATGACTGCACATCATTTGTTTCCCTTGTTTCCTGGCTTCTTTAAACTGGTCCATTTGCTGTAGACGGGCTTCAGTCGTACCTGGGTAGAGATCCTCGTTGACGAAGATAGTGGTGTCATTCATCTTACTGCGTTGATAAAACACTTTGTCACGGTCAGAGGGGGATGATAATTTTGTTATGATGTCGCGGGGGCGGGAGGAGTTGGGTTTTCCGACGAGTTGAACAATAACAAACTTTACTTCAGGAAGTTTAAAATGATCATTCAGCTGGAGTGAAATTTTGCGTTGGGATACCGGCAATTGTTTCGCCGCCCTATGTCACTGTTAGTGTTGATAACTACCGCAGGAGCCACATTGTGGCAATAACTGCCACAGGAGCCACACTGTGTTAATAACTGCCACAGAAGCCACACTGTGTTAATAACTGTCACAGGAGCCACATTGTGGCAATAACTGCCACAGGAGCCACACTGTACTAATAACTGCCACAGGAGCCACACTGTGTTAATAACTGCCACAGGAGCCACACTGTGTTAATAACTGCCACAGGAGCCACATTGTGGCAATAACTGCCACAGGAGCCACACTGTGTTAATAACTGCCACAGAAGCCACACTGTGTTAATAACTGTCACAGGAGCCACATTGTGGCAATAACTGCCACACTGTGTTAGAAGCCACACTGTGTTAATAACTGCCACAGAAGCCACACTGTGTTAATAACTGTCACAGGAGCCACACTGTGTTAATAACTGCCACAGGAGCCACACTGTGTTAATAACTGTGTGTTAATAACTGCCACAGGAGCCACATTGTGGCAATAACTGCCACAGGAGCCACACTGTGTTAATAACTGCCACAGAAGCCACACTGTGTTAATAACTGTCACAGGAGCCACATTGTGGCAATAACTGCCACAGGAGCCACACTGTACTAATAACTGCCACAGGAGCCACACTGTGTTAATAACTGCCACAGGAGCCACACTGTGTTAATAACTGCCACAGGAGCCACATTGTGGCAATAACTGCCACAGGAGCCACACTGTGTTAATAACTGCCACAGAAGCCACACTGTGTTAATAACTGTCACAGGAGCCACATTGTGGCAATAACTGCCACAGGAGCCACACTGTACTAATAACTGCCACAGGAGCCACACTGTGTTAATAACTGCCACAGGAGCCACACTGTGTTAATAACTGCCACAGGAGCCACATTGTGGCAATAACTGCCACAGGAGCCACACTGTGTTAATAACTGCCACAGAAGCCACACTGTGTTAATAACTGTCACAGGAGCCACATTGTGGCAATAACTGCCACAGGAGCCACACTGTACTAATAACTGCCACAGGAGCCACACTGTGTTAATAACTGCCACAGGAGCCACACTGTGTTAATAACTGCCACAGGAGCCACATTGTGGCAATAACTGCCACAGGAGCCACACTGTGTTAATAACTGCCACAGAAGCCACACTGTGTTAATAACTGTCACAGGAGCCACACTGTGTTAATAACTGCCATAGGAACCACACTGTCTTAATAACGGCCACGGGAGCCACACTGTGTTGATAACTGCCACAGGAGCCACACTGTGTTCATAACTGCCTCAAGAGACAAACTGTGTTAATAACTGTCACAGGAGCCACACTGTGTCAATAACTGCCACAGGAGCCACACTGTTTTAATAACTGCCACAGGAGCCACACTGTGTTGATAACTGCCACAGGAGCTACACTGTGTTGATAACTGCCACAGGAGCCACAGTGTGTTAGTAACTGCCACAGGAGCTACACTGTGTCAATAACTGCCACAGGAGCCACACTGTGTCAATAACTGCCACAGGAGCCATACTGTGTTAATAACTGACACAGGAGCCACACTGTTTTAATAACTGCCACAGGAGCCACACTGTGTTGATAAATGCCACAGGAACCACACTGTTTCAATAACTGCCACAGGAGCCACATAGTGTTAATAACCGACATAGGAGCCACACTGTGTTAATAACTGACACAGGAGCCACACTGTGTTGATAACTGGCATAGGAGCCACACTGTCTTAATATCTGCCACAGGAGCCACAGTGCCTGCTAGTGTTAATCCCTGCCACAAGAGCCACACTGTTAACCTGGATATAGAGTTATTAAGCTTCAGACGTTGACCACAAACCGGGGATGGATAAAAGCTTTGTGGTGACGGTAGTTCCCGGTGGTTATATTGGTCGTCTCTGTGTCTTCGTTTTAGTAAGACAGTTAAATAGATATGCTGTCTCATGTCGAGCTACACGAATATAAACTAACTAGGGCCAGGGCCAGGTGCGTTACCGTCATCCTCAATCTCACGACTTGTTATCATTTGTGTTGATCTCCTTCAGCAGGTGACCGGGTGAGGTACACTAGGTAGCAGGTAAAGGTCTAAGCGATACAGTAGTGTACTGTTAATCTTGGACTCATGACTGAGTGAGTCAGCTCTGCGATAATATGACTCCTATAAGATGGATGATGGAAGGGACCCACGTCACCTTAAGGAAATCAGGTCAAAGGTCAAGGTGAATTTACCTGATGTGGATTGACTGGGAACGATGACCATACTGTGCCCGAGTTTCGGCGCGCTGGTCACTACTAGCAAATGCACGATCACAGCATGTTGGAGAGTGGCGACTTAACTGGCGTTATTTCTGAACCTGGAGCTTAATTCTGTTTACCTCAAATCCTGAGGTGTGTGGCAGCAGGTGTGTGTGGAAGCAGGTGTATGTGGCAGCAGGTGTGTAGCAACAGGTGTGTGTGGCAGCAGGTGTGTGGCAGCAGATGTGTGTGGCAGTCAGGTGTGTGGCAGAAGGTGTGTGTGGCAGCAGGTGTGTGGCAGCAGGTGTGTGTGGCAGCAGGTGTGTGTGGCAGCGGGTGTGTATAACAGCTGGTGTGTGTGCCGAGTAATAACAACTGTGGGCGCTGAGACAGCACACAGAGTGACGTATACTTGTAAGGCAGCGCCTCTCAACACTTGCCAAAACACAGGAAACATTTTGAAGTAACTTACAAGTGAGAAATAAAGATAATCGCTGCTACTACTCTATCGATCGGTGAGAGAAGATATGTGTGCCACAAGGTGAGGGGCCCCCTCACCACTGCACAGCCCGTTTCCTTGGGGATATAATAGATGGGCAGTTGCGTCACGTAGCAGTGAGGACTCAAAGCGGGTGTGTCGTTTGTGGCAGCGTTCGGTATATAATGGGGCGGGAGCCAACCACCACCACTCAGTGTTGACCCAGAGGCCAGTGCAAGATGAAGACTCTCCCCGTTGGTGTTCTCCTAACCGGTACCTCCCTTCACACACTTCTTGTTCAAATTACGCACGCACAATAATGTAACAGACACACAATAATATACAAGAGACACACAATAATGTACAACAGACACACCATAATGTGTAACAGACACACAATAATGTACAACAGACACACAATAATGTACAACAGACACACAATAATGTACAACAGACACACCATAATGTGTAACAGACACACAATAATGTACAACAGACACACAATAATGTGCAACAGACACACAATAATATACAAGAGACACACAATAATGTACAACAGACACACCATAATGTACAACAGACACACCATAATGTACAACAGACACACCATAATGTGTAACAGACACACAATAATGTACAACAGACACACAATAATGTGCAACAGACACACAATAATATACAAGAGACACACAATAATGTACAACAGACACACCATAATGTACAACAGACACACCATAATGTACAACAGACACACCATAATGTGTAACAGACACACAATAATGTACAACAGACACACAATAATGTGCAACAGACACACAATAATATACAACAGACACACCATAATGTACAACAGACACACCATAATGTGTAACAGACACACAATAATGTACAACAGACACACAATAATGTGCAACAGACACACAATAATGTACAACAGACACACCATAACGTACAACAGACACACAATATTTGTATAACAGACACACCATAATGTACAACAGACACACAATAATGCAACAGACACACAATAATGTACAACAGACACACAATAATGTACAACAGACACACCATAATGTGTAACAGACACACCATAATGTACAACAGACACACCACAATGTACAACAGACACAGAATAATGTACAACAGACACACCATAATGTACAACAGACACACAATAATGTGCAACAGACACACAATAATGTGCAACAAACACACAATAATGTGCAAGAAAACACACAATAATGTACAACAGACACACAATAATGTACAACAAACACACACATAATGTACAACAGACACACAATAATGTGCAACAGACACACAATAATGTACAACAAACACACCATAATGTACAACAGACACACAATAATGTGCAACAGACACACAATAATGTGCAACCAACACACCATAATGTACAACAGACACACAATAATGTGCAACAGACACACAATAATGTACAACAGACACACAATAATGTGCAACAGACACACAATAATGTACAACAGACACATCATAATGTACAACAGACACACCATAATGTACAACAGACACACAATAATGTGCAACAGACACACAATAATGTGCAACAAACACACAATAATGTACAACAGACACACCATAATGTACAACAGACACACAATAATGTGCAACAGACACACAATAATGTGCAACAAACACACAATAATGTACAACAGACACATCATAATGTACAACAGACACACCATAATGTACAACAGACACACAATAATGTGTAACAGACACACAATAATGAGCAACAAACACACAATAATGTACAACAGACACATCATAATGTACAACAGACACACCATAATGTACAACAGACACACAATAATGTGCAACAGACACACAATAATGTGCAACAGACACACCATAATGTTTTTATTGGTAACAATATTCTGAACTGAAGTTTCCGCAGCATGCAAATATTCCGAGAAATAAAGGAGCCACTCTAACGTAGGGATTGACTCCTTTAACTTATAAACAACCCTCGATATATGGTTAGTCCCCAATATTATCGATTAACTTGTACTCTAAAATAGTAATCGCATGGAATGTTTGAGATATAACACGATTCTGCTGAGATACAGCTTGATCGACAATGTTCATGCGGTCCCCCAATTTAGCTACTTCGTCGGCCGTTGCCGTGCCAAACAGAGTGCTTTGGATAAGACCCACAAAATTAAATAAACCTCTTTTTCGTCGTGCTTGAGAACGCACTTCTTTTGCAAGATCAACCTCAGACGCTGGTATTCTTTTTCCAACAATGACGAGAAGCTTGTGAAGGTTCATGAGACGAAAGTGGAGAAGGTCAATGGTTTGTGTAACCATCGTCGATACATTAGGAGCTGAGCTGAGATCATGTAGGATGTCCAATGCTGATTGTAGTTCCGCGTCGACGGTTTCCATCTGACAGGAATGTCCACATCCGTCCTCAAGCCGGGTGCGCTTGTTGCACCCCATGGACGCGTTCTCATAGTGGAGGACGTGGTGAACATCAAGTATGAGTTACATGGACTGCTCCAGCTTCCCAGTCAGATGGAAACCGTCGACGCGCAACTGCGGAAACTTCAGTTCAGAATATTGTTACCAATAAAAACGAACTAATTGACAGCATAGTAGATGCAGGGATAGTGCGTGTGGAGGCAAAGCTTGTGCCTGTACAGACGCTTCTTGATGATTTACATATTGCCAAATTGAAGTATAACTTAACTCCTATTTTAATGATAATGAGGTAGAATATTGGAGTCAACTCTCACGCACAATGCTATTCTCATCCACATCCCTATGCGAGGGCAACATCAGTTTAATGCATGGCATTTACAACCTTTCCCCTGGTTTGTTAACGACACACTGTATACTCTGGATAGGCCTAAAGAGCTTTTACTGGTAGATGAAGAAAATTCTTTATTGGCATTAGATGATCCTGAGGTACTCTCGCGGTGTAAGTCGTCATATCTACACCTACACGTATGTCCAGCCTATACTGTATGTTCGCCTTTATTCCTGCTGCAGAAGGAATATGTGAATTGCAGTCATACAAACTAATGTACGCACAGCACTTGCGCAATGCCAGTTAGTGTTAAAACTGTGTTTCACGCTCATCTCCATAATGTGCAGTACTTATTCTTTCCAAATGTTACTACTGTTATTTTAAAATGCCACGATGGTGGAAAACAGCTAGTTGTGAAAGGTCATTCCAAGGCTCCTGATTACTGTGAAGTCACTTGTAGTTCATTACGGACCTTGCCTACTCATCAGCATTTTGCCTTAAATTTAAATCTCAAGTCAGCTTTAATTCCAATGTTTCCTGTCATGAACTTCACTGTAAAGGATCTTCAAATTGTTTCAGGGAAATTGAAGGCAATTGCATTCTTGAAAGAGACAAAATTTGCTGATTTAAATACTAATTTGCCATTTTATTTGTCACAGAAATTTGCTATACCAGGTCTCACAATTCCCACAATTATGTTAATTTTGGCAGTAATGTTTCTTTTCTGTTATTATAAGTCAGTATCATACAAGATGAAAATTGTCCATAACATTCTAACCCATAAGACACTAAAGTATAGGACCCCTGTAGTTGATAAAACCCCTACGGTAGTAGAGTCCCCAGCTTAATGTCTACACATATGTTTATTATATGGTTAGGGTTGTGTAGGATGCACTGTACTCTGTGAGTTTATTTAGGCATCAGGGAGCTCGGCTGGTAGGTGACCGAGCGATGTAATGGCCCCTGTCTCATCAACAGAAGTATTATATAAATGGGTTCTTTACATTTAATTTATATTCAAATTCACCCCCTGTAACTTTCCACTGGCTATGAGTTGTCATGACAAATCAAGTGAGCGGTAGCTTCCTTAAGGGGTGGGGCTCATTTGACTGTATGTCAGCACTTGTGTCAGCACCCATAAGCCGGCGCTCATTGCTAGTCTCACTCACAATCTTACATCGAACGGATGTTGATAATATGGCCTATCTACATAGCCGCCGTCCTTTCTCTTCACGCTCATAAATAGTGGAAGTTACGGTTGATCTACACTCAGGAATTATACAAACAATACTTTTTAATAAAAGAAGAAACTTCAATTGGGTTTCGTTACTAAAGCCCAATATAATATAAATGTACCAACCTGGTTAAATTGGAATTAACCAGCCGGTTCAATAATGTACAACAGACACACCATAATGTACAACAGACACGCCATAATGTACAACAGACACACAATAATGTACAACAGACACACCATAATGTGCAACAGAACACCATAATGTACAACAGACACACAACAATGTACAACAGACACACAATAATGTACAACAGACACACAATAATGTACAACAGACACACAATAATGTACAACAGACACATCATAATGTACAACAGATACACAATAATGTGCAACAGACACACAATAATAATAATAATTAACGGTTTATTGAAAAAATTCTGCAACCCGAAGGCTGAAAATATACATTGGACATAAATGACTTATTACATACATTGGTGGTTTAACAAAAGCCTTCATTAGAGAAAGGTAAAGGAACATACAGTGAACATACAGATTAATGTAGGTGTTGAACAGCAAACTCGTAGTGTAGCAACTCCGTCCCAGATGGTGTTAGGAGGAACTCACGTGGTGTAGTAGTTTCCTCAGATGGTGTTATGAGGGACCTGGCGTGGTGTAGTAATTCCCTCGCAGATGGTGTTATGAGGGGCCTCACGTGGTGTAGTAATTCCCTCACAGATGGTGTTATGAGGGACCTCACGTGGTGTAGTAATTACCTCACAGATGGTGTTATGAGGGACCTCACGTGGTGTAGTAATTCCCTCACAGATGGTGTTATGAGGGCCTCACGTGGTGTAGTAATTCCCTCACAGATGGTGTTATGAGGGGCATCACGTGGTGTAGTAATTCCCTCACAGATGGTGTTATGAGGGGCCTGACGTGGTGTAGTAATTCCCTCACAGATGGTGTTATGAGGGACCTCACGTGGTGTAGTAATTCCCTCACAGATGGTGTGATGAGGGACTTGACGTGGTGTAGTAATTCCCTCACATATGGTGTTATATGAGTGAGGTTTGGTCTTAGGCCTTCCTATAGTAGACGGATTAACACATCGCTGGTTGTTGTTGGGTCTCACAAGCCGTTATCACTGGGTACCTGGGACCTCACTGTGTGAAGGTTAACTTGGGAACGACTGTTACTGTTCAGTTGTTCTCACTGACTTAAGCACTGTTCACCACTGTTCAC